TCCCTGAGCTCTGCCTGTGTCCCTGAATCCCAACCCCTAGCCCCGTTATCCCAGCCTTGAGCTCCCCCCTCCTCCCTGAGCTCTGCCTGTGTCCCTGAATCCCAACCCCTAGCCCCGTTATCCCAGCCTTGAGCTCCCCCCTCCTCCCTGAGCTCTGCCAGTGTCCCTGAATCCCGACCCCCAGCCCCGTTATCCCAGCTCTGAGCCTCCCCCCACAGCCCCGAGCTCTGCCTGTAGGCTGCCGTTTGGGACCCGCTGTGTGCACCCTGCGGACTCCCCCGAGGCCGTCACCAAGCCTGAAGTTGAGACCAAGGTCACGACTGGCCCTGGCTCTCGCTAAGGTGGAGCTAAGGGCAGAGCGTGACCCCAGCATCGCGCCCAGCCCCCCGCACACCCTGGGCCGCACGTGGGCGCAGAGGGAGCCGAACGCCTCTGGCTGCTTTTCAGGTGAAGAACGTTGCCGAGGGCGCCAGCATTCAGGATGAGACAGCCACGCTGGCCTACTCCGAGAAGCCAATCAGCCCCGTCAACGCCCCAGCCAGCGCCTACGGCTACCCGCGCAAGGAGAACGGCTACTATGCCTCCGAGGCCTACAACCCCACCAGGTGAGTCCGTCCCAAGGGCTGGGAACCCAGGGTCCCTTTGTATCCAGATCTCCCACCCAGGCCTCCGGCGGACTCCTCCTCCCGCTCAGCTGGGCTCACGGAGCTCGGGAGCAGCTGGTTTGATGAAGTCACGTGCCAGGCGGGTCTGGTGGTTAGAGCCCAGGGCTGGGACTCGTTGGGTTCAGTGCACAGCTCTGTGGGACCTTGGGCCTCATTTCCCAGACATCTGCAAACCGGAGGAGAACGGTCCTTCCTGTGTCTGTCTTGTACATCAGGCTGTGAGCTCCGGGGCAGGGACTGTCTCTCACTGCGTGTCCGGGCAGCAGCCGGCCCGGCGGGGCCCTGAACTCACGCTACTACACTGCCGCTGTGTCCATGCCCATGCGGGGAGGCAGCATTCCCTGTTTCACTCAGACCTGCCGCCTTGCCACGCTGCCAGCCCCCGGTCACCTCAGGAGCTGGGGCGCTCTAGCCCGGGGGTTCCTCTGGGTCCCGCCTGGATGGATGAGCGGTTGGGGGAGGTCTCAGGCTGAGAATCCTGGCTCTAGGCTGAGCCCCGTGTCCACATATC